TTGTGCAGGTCTGACTTTACGAAGACAGCCATGCCAAGAGGAGGGAAGGGGACACGACCGCCTCAAAGGCCGTTGGGCGCATCAGGAGGATATGAGCGGCATGGACCTCGCCAACGAGAGAGTACTCCAGTCTACAATGATGGGGACATCGAGCTATTCCTGGACAGTTTCTGGGAGCATGCGAGGCGTATGGGTTGGACCGTCATTCAGGCGATTGAGAGATTGAGGGGAGTAGGTAGGTTCGAAGAGCCCATTGCCAGGATTCGTAGGGAGGCGACGACGAGGCAGGAGGTGGAGATAAGGATGGAGGAGTTGCGGCCCTCGCCTGTGGGACCTGATGGCAGGCCGATCCGCCTGGAGATTGGAAATGTGTCGGACTTCATCCCCGCGTTTGAGTGGTTCATGCAAGAGCAGGGCATACTGAGAGATGATTGGATACAGACGCTGCCACTCTGGACTAGGAAGGCGGAAAGGCCACTGGCTATGCAGATCAGGGACATGGCACGAGATTGGGAGAGTTGCAGGGCACATTTGAGAGAGGTCTTTCGACGGCCAGAGCTCCCTCAGCCCAGAGTCGAGAGGCGGCAGAGGAGTCAGAGGCCGAGGGACCCTGAGCCCAGGGAGGCGAGACCATCTCGAGGAGGACGGAAGGCCCTAGCCAGGAGAGAGCAGGAGCCAGAGGATGAGGAGCGAGGGGCATACCCCGAGTGTGGGTTGGGGCCAGTGGAGTTCCATCGTTTTACTGAGGGTGGATTGAGGAGGTCGCCAGCACACACACAGGGGAAGCCACCAGCGTCAGAGGGGCCCTTGAGGGAATTGGAGATGCATTTAGATATTTCTCGGTGGAGGGCATCGCTTCAGGGAGAGGAGCATGGAGAGCAGGCAGAGGAGGTGTCACGAGGGGAGGTGCCACGAGAGGAGGTGCCACAGGGGGAGATACCACGAGAGGAGTTGCCGCGGGAGGAGGTACCACAGGAAGAGATCCGGGGTACTCAGCAAGAGAGAGGGCTGGGTGATGAGGGGAGATGTGCAGGAAAGGAAGTGATAGAGGTTGGAGAGGACACGCCCCCACAGACGCCAATGGTGGGTTTGAGACTCGGGGATGCACCAGGGAGCACCCGGCCGGCAAATGAGGGGTTGCAGAGAGAGGAGACCCCTTTACCTTCGTCAGGAAAAACTCCTTCGCCAGAAGGGAGGGCAGAAAGGAGGAGAGAGAGGGCAGCTGTAAGGAGAGAAGCCATGATCCTGATTCATAGGTACCTAGTAGCTCATGCCCTGGAGCACCCAGACCTCGAGGAGCCAGCACCTGCAGAGCCACGCCATGAGTCATGCCAGCACGAGAAGGAGATGGAAGCAGAAATCCCAAAGAGGGTCGACCTCCGCACGAGGGAAAGGGTGCCAGCTGGAGAGACGGCCGAAGAAAAGAGGGCAAGGCGAACCAGGCGGATAGATGAGATATGGCAGGAAAGGCAGAGGTTGGAGGCAGCAGGGGAGCTCCCGGAGCAGCAGCAGGAGAGGCAGAGATCGGAGGCAGCAGGAGCACTCCCWGGTCAGCCACCCARCRCACCAACTAGGGCCCCRGAGATTCCTGAAATGTGGAAAGACTTCTGGGAGCAGAGAGGAGAGAAGCTTCCATCGCCAGTCAGAGCCGGGTTTGGGGTGGCCAGGAAGGCGGAAGAAAGGTTAGATCGTAAAATCAAATTCCTGGCCAAGACCACTTTTGACCGGCACTTGTTATTGGAGGGCGATCTGGCGGGGAAGAAAATGAAGGAAGCCAGCCATGTAGTACGTTTGGAGGCTATGGAGGTGGAAATTCAGGAACTTAAGGCTTTGGTGGCCAGCCAGGCAGCTATCATTGAGAACCTGAGGCAGCGAACCCAGGGAAAGGTGGACAGACCAGAGAGCAGCTGGCAGAGAGAGCAGAGGCAGACAGGACAGGGATTGCGAGGACAGCCATCTGCGATAGAGCCTCGTCAGGAGCCACCTATGGGGAAGGTTATCCTGGAGCTAGAGGAGGCGAGAGCACAAAGACAGGCAGAGAGAGCAGTGGCAGACAGGACAGGGATTCCCAGGACAGCCATCTGCGATAGAGCCTCGCCAGGAGCCACCTATGGGGAAGGTTATACTGGAGCCAGAGGAGGCGAGAGCCCAGAGACAGGCAGAGAGAGAGGCGTTCAAGTTTAGAGCCCCCACCGAGCTCGCGACGCTGCCAGTGGCGGGGACAGGCCCAGTCGTACCTTTGGCAGTAGAAGAGGGGCTGTCACCATCTAGCAGTGAGCCGGCTCAGGGCTCGGCAGAGGGATTCTTGGGCGTGCTCGTTGAGGCAGTGCATACTATGCAGGACGAGGTGAGTTTGTTTTCACCTGAGCAGAGGATAAAGGAACCTCTTGAGAGAGAGATGAGGATTGAGGAGGAGGGTGCCATCGAGGGCAGACTCTAGAGGATAGGCACACCTGAGTATGGACCAGAGGAGATTGAGGAGCAGCCCACGACAGTGCCAGAGGCGACACTCGAGAGGAGGCCTCAGAGATTGGACATGCCCGAGTACGTCCCAGCGACAGAGGATTTGAGAGGTAGACTAGGATCTTGGGCTACTGGATCTGGGTCTGGTGGACCGGTTCCGAGGACAGAGCAGCAGGAAGTTGTTAGTACCGCAACTCCTCGATCAGAGCAGCAGGGGGGTGTCGGTACCTTGGTGGGATCTCCTTCATTGCCACCTCCTCAGCCCAGGAAGAGGAAGTTCAAGAGAAAGGTAGATCAACTATGCTTTTACTGCAAAAGGGACGTGCATCTGGCTTTGGACTGTCTCGAGTTTCTTGAGGATAAGGCAGTAGGGAAGATCTCAGAGGTAGGGGGTAAAATGTATGATAGACAGGGTAGGATAGTAGAGAAGTCCGTAGATGGACTTAGGGCTCAGTTATATAGGCAAAACCAGGAGGAGTTGAGGAGGTAGGGCTCGGTTTTGTCTATATAAGTAAGCGAGCATTTTGTGAGGTATCAACTTAGGTTCTGTGTGATATTCTCTTAGACTTAGAAGACATTTTGATGACTACTGTTGATCTAAGATCTGAACTCTAGTGTTTCTACTGAGTTGGGGCTTTGAGGGTCAGGGTGGTTTAGATGAGGCATGTACATATTTAGGTGGCCTACGCCCTGGCCTTTGAGAAACAGATCTGACATGTATTTTAAGGGTAGTTGTCAGTGTGGGTTTGGTGTGGCTCGAGTTGAGCACGCTATGATTTGGAGACACTTTTTGTATGAGACATTGTATTCCCTGAGTGTATATTATGATGAGGTTTCCTTCAGGGAACATTCTTATAWGTGACAATCACTTGTCTTTCTCACATGTGTGGTTGTACTCTGATGTATGATGAGTTGGTGTGGACAATGYGTGAAAAACATTTTATGTATCTTGAGTATTGTGAATATGATTGTAAGTAAAACTGTCTACTCCTCGGTATACTTGTACGACCTGCCCACGGCAGCTGATAAGGCAGAGTATAAGGGGAGGGAGCGCAGTCCGTCTGTGAAAGTTATCTAAGTTGTGATGAGGACCCATAAGATGGTCTCTCAGTGATGTTCTGTTTTATGATGGGACCCCCTTGGATTTTGGAAAAGAGGGGATGTTTTGTGATGTTTTGTGATGTAATGAAACCCGTCGTGATTTTGAGAGAGGGGGTGTTTTGTTTATGATGAGACCCTCGTGATTTCTGGAAGAGGGAATGTATTGTTTTATGGCGAGACCCCTCGTGATTTTTTTGGAAGAGGGGGTGTTTTGGTTATGAAGAGAGCCCATTTTGGATTGTTGGAAAATGGGAGTGGTTTTTTGGTTGAAAGACTCATCCTCAGAAGTGAGTAAATTGATTTATGGCATGATGAGTTGTTCAATGAGTGATAAAGTCTGACGGAAAGGGGGCACTTTTTGTTTGAAATGTTTGAGAAAGTCGCAATGAGTACAGGGCGAGAGATGTCTCAGGGTGGGTGGCTGCTGGCTCTGATCAAGTCAGGGGTCACGGCCTGGTGGATTTAGCGGTGATTTTGCTTATAAGCGTGCGAAAGAGACATACCTATTGAAGGAGGGCTGGTAAATGCCTTCGGACCCCTGCGTATCGCGCAGTGGGCCTGTGATTTTGTTTTGCGACGCACCCGTTTAACCACCGGTGCTAATTCTGAGACATATTGAAGAAAGGCCAAGCTAACGGAAAAGAAGTTAGTACCTCTAGGGCATAACCCCATTGGATGGCTGCTAACCGGCGCAACCTGGTTGCGGGACCACGGGGTAAGAGTTTAAGGGGAGTTACCCACCATAGGAAAATTACTCCGTGGGATAGTGAAGGTTGAGATTTTGGGAGACCCTGATTGAGTGCCTATCAGGAAAAACCCTATCGTTGCGTAACCAACGAGGGTACTGCCGTTAAATAACAATGCGGTGGGCCGTAGTCCCGGTCCGATCAACCAGGCTATGGTGGGCCAAGATGGAGACCGGACCTTTCTGTACTAGACTGCAGAAAGAGCGGAGTGGATATTAGGTTTACATATATATTTGATTGCGAGAGATTTTGAGAAGGAAGGCGAGAGTGCCTTCAAAGGTCTCGGTTAAGGACCGCATCCCTAGTTTTTGCCAGGACTAGGGACACCCAACGAGAAGCCGAAGGTTGTCCAAGACCGGGGAAAGGACGATTGGGAAGGTCTTTGAAACTTATGCTGCCACTGTCCTAATTTCTGGACGGTGTGAGGCCCAGGTTAGCAACCTGGCAGCATATAGTTGTGGAGGCATGGTTTGATGGAGGCCTCTACCCTGTGTTTGTCGGCTGATCGGATTGGCTCACCTCTTTCGTCAGCATTTGGAGTGTGAATGGATTTATAACTTTCAGATTTGGCGAAGCGACGGGGACGTCGCTTAATGTGGTCCGGTAAGGCTGTCGGTGCGAATACCCCTACAAGGGTATCCGCCCTGGTTTTTTGCAAGTAACAGAAAATTGTTTGGTTTAAAGTTTAAGTATACCACGCTAGGCACGACTGCGTTTGTAATTGCGTTGACTGGGTGGTTGAGCACAATAGCGAGTGCGTGGGTGCGCAGGGTTTAAGGCGCGCGTGATTCTTTTCTGTTGTTGATCGTAAAGCCGGCCCGGACCTCGGTCGTTTTGCTTACTGATATTATTAATTATTTATTTTTGATTAAGCAGGAATTAAGGATATTTTTCGTTTGATTGGTACGTTTGACCAGGTTGAGCACGCGTGAGGAGGATGACCTCAACGACGACATTGACTACGACGGCGCGACTTCATGTAGTAAGCGGGGTGTAGTAGGATGGCGTGCGGGGCAATTGTGGCACGGTATAAGCGAGCCGGCGTGGGCATTGAGAGCCGCGCAGCCCGTTTGTTGGCTTGAAGCGCCGCGCCGCACTGCCTTATATGGCACTCCGCGGACGTGGGTCTAAGGCTTGGGCTTAGCCCTACAGGCCACAACATCGGACTGCTGCTACGGAGGTTCTGGGATCGAGGTTGACGGGTGTCGATGCAACAGTTGCAGCGGAGCGGCGTGAAGAGGACCGAGGGGTAGAGGGTCCGACGGGGCTATCCCCCTTTTGATTTATTGGATGGCGCGACGACGGGCCCGGTTCGCGGGTTTGGCGAGGTGCCAGCAGCCCCACGGTGCCCCGACGTTTTACTTGTATTTTATTCTATTTTATCCTTCCTTTTGTTTTATTACTTTTGACCCCTTGCTAGCGTGTCCCATTCTGGGACGTGGGGCAGTGGGGGCGCGGCTGGCTCCCAAGAGCCTAGCCCAGTGGGTATAACCCTGAGCTGTTGAAATACAGGTCTGTGGTCAAATCCAGATGATGGAATTTGATAAGTAAAACCAGCTATTCTGGTTTGCCTGGGCCGACCAGGCTCTGAGTAGCCATAAAGCGCAGCCCAGCATAAGTCCTTCGGGACATCCGTTAAAATTGGGACGATACACAGAAGATTCGCACGGCGCGTGCACAGGGGTGACACGGATAAAGCGGGGATCAACCAATAGCACCGGGGGCCGCCCTATTAAGGACCGGGGGACTGGTTTGGGGGAACCAGGTGGCTTTTGGGAGTGCCGTGGGGCATTGCCCCGGTCGGATCCTCCCGGCCATTTGTAAGCTTGAGTGGGGTGGAGAAGACTGGCGTGGAGAATGGCGTGGCCCGGGGCACAAGGGACGCGCGTATATAGTAGGCGGGTCCGACAGCTGAAGACTTTTGGGGAGCCGGACGCTGGCAGATCGCGCAGCGCTGAGACGCCGGGTGCATGCAAAAGGCGGAGTTGCCACGGTAGACGGTGGGTGCGAAAGTGGCAATGAATCCGGACGGAAAGAGGGGCCGGATGCATGCGCGATAGCATGGGAGATAGTGAAAGAAGTGGAGCGGGTAGCAGGTAGCAGCGAGAGGGGGAGCGGAGATAACGCAGGGGGTGAGAGCGGAGCAGCCGAGGACAACGAGGCCGGGGAGCGAATGGGAGGAAGGAATCCGGGCGCGAATCCGCACCGGATACATTCGCCAAAGGAAAAAGGTTAGTACTCGCTCATATAGAGGGCGATTTTGACGGGGAAAGATGCTAGATAGGGGTTTTTAGGCAAGGCGACTTCGATGATGATGTTAGTTTTGAGAATAGATAAGTAGAGTCGTGGGTTAGTAGAAAAACCAGTGCGCCGAGATGGCTATGGACGAGAGAAGGTAAGGAGTGAAAAATTAAGATTTCACTCGATTCTTAATGGAATCGAGTGAAAGAAGATAGTAGATTAGTGTTTTTGAGGTAGGCGAATCCAAAGATGTAGTTAGATTGGTGAAAGAGTTAGTAGAATAAAAGTTAGTAAGAAAATATAGTGTGCGGAGGTGCTCAGAGGTGGATATGGCCGAAAGTAAAAAATCAACTTTCTCGCTCATTTCTTAGCGAAATCGAGCGAAAGGAGAGTCGATTTAGCGGTTTTGGGACAAGGCGAGACGGATTCCATCGTTAGTTTTTGTAATGGGTTAGTGATTTGGGAGTTAGTAGAAAAACTTGCTGCGTGAAGAGATGGCGGAGTGAAGACGAAGAAGGTTGGAGAGACGTGTATTTGATCCGATTCTTAACGAAGTCGGATGAGGGAAGATGTCATTCTAGTTTTTTTGCCAGGGCGAAACCGTTGGTGGGTTTAGATTTGCGGAGGGGGGTGGTAGATCTTGTGTCATAATAAGCATAGATTACGTCCGGGAGAGCTGCTGTTTTGATATGGAATGAACCCACCCGCATATCAGGGGCAGATTCATTCGATTCTGCTCATCCTATCTTRGCGGYAGTATGTGGCCGGCTGCGCCACGCATAGAGAGAGAGAGGAGGGGCAAGGTATCTCGAAGGCAGGCTATTCGAACGCAAGTGCGGGCG